AAACTAGCACTTCATTTAAAGAACTGTATTAGAGCAGGCTGGCCTTACAGCAAATGGTCCAGAAGGTTTAAACTCAGGCAGTGGAAGTAGCCTACCTTCCCTCTAACTTTAAACTCAAATCGAGGAAAATCCCATGCCTAGGAGATTTTTATTTTTATCTGTTTTTAAATGTCTAAGCCTTTAAATTCTTATCTTAAAGCTGCTTATCTTCTGGTTTTCAAAACTCTTGGCCCCTTCCAATTACTTTTGGCCTTCTTGATTACTAATCTTTTTCATACTCACAATGCTCTTTATCTGCCATCAGATTGTCTGGAAATTTTTTTCTCCAGTAAAGGGCTTTGATATGCCAGGCTTACCCTAATGGCACTGTGCACCTGTCAGGTGTCTGGTGGGGCTTAAGGAGACCTCTAAGGAAGGTTAGGCCTGGTGGGAAGGCCAGGCCTGCCCATGGGGTGTGGAACATGATAAACTAACCTCAGAAGCTCCATTTGGGCCCTGACTGGTGCAGCTCAGTTGGTTGGAGCGTCATCCCATATACCAGAAGATGACCAGTTTGATTCCTGGCCAGGGCACATACCTAGGTTGCAGGTTCGATCCCTGGTCTTAGGGGGCGTTGTGCAGAAGGCAGCCGATCAGTGTTTCTCATTCACGTTGATGTTTCCCTCTCTCTCTCCCTTCCTCTCTGTAAAATCAATTTAAAAAAAAAAAAAAGCTCCATTTGACCAGTCACTGCCTCTTACCTGTTCCCCAATGTGTCCCTGGCACCCAGCCACTGCCTGGCACACTGAGTGCTCAATAAGTAAATGAATGAAATGGTCTTGTATTCCTAGCATCAACACATGCAATAACATGAACAAAGACTGAAAAAGTAGTATGGTGAAATAAAATATGAGAGTGTCGAGACATGTTTAAGAAAAAGTGATCCAAAGGTCAGTGACGTTTTATATTCATATGCTTCGTAGTTACTAGAGAGCTTCAACAACTCCATTTGAAGGATGATGGGAACCTTAAAGGTCTTTTGAGGATTAAAGAGATCATGTATGTAAAGCTCCTACCACAATGCCTAACATGTAATATGAGCTTTTAAAACAGCTGATGGTCTACCTTTTCCTCTAATGACATGACAAATTCAGGTGCAGAAATCAGGTTTCCCGTTTTCTGGCCTATCACACTTCCTGCCATACCTCAATGTTCCTCCCACACTGTTCTCAGACTCTGATGGGATCATCTTAGAACAGCAGGAAGGGCACCCCAAGCAGACTAGTGACACCTCTGCTCCCATCTTACAGGGGTGAGGAAGGAAGGCATTTCACCCTCCACAATTAAAGTGATCGATGCTAACTAGCTGGAAGTAGAGCCTGGAACCATGTAAGGTTCTGGACATGATATCCCACGGGGATCACTACAAGATCCCTATGCTAATTCCCTGCTGACAGCTCTACTCAAAAAAAAAAAAAAAAAAAAAATTAAGTGAGGCTTCTAAGACCCAATGACTGAAGTGGGAGCCCACACAGATCCACAATACGTCTGCTCAGAGGGACAGTGATTACCCTTCAAACTTTTTTCCCAATAATAAATACATTACAGAGTTGCCATCAGATGCTGTGCCAATGATAAATAATACTTGTGTTCCTCTGGTCCAGGGGAACTGAATCAATGCATCATTTTGAAATGTGCCCCAGGCTTTTTGTCTGGTCTGACCTTTCTCTGGATCTTTAAAAAGACTGAAATAATTTAAGTAGCATCTCACTTTCCACAGTCCTCCTTTTAAGGGGCATGCTAATTTCATTCTTTTTTCCTCTGACCTTTTTCTTAATGCCATCTTGCTGAAGGTGCCACTGGCCCATTCCTTAGCCCTCCAGGTAGATGACATGAACTCCATCACATTTAAGGACCACCTGACTCCTCCATTCACTCATTGGGTGGCCCAGGGCAGGCACTCAAATTCAGTGGAGTTTAGTTTCCTCTACTGAAATATGGAAAAATAAACCTACCTTACAGAGCTTTCTTTGGCAAATATGAATTGTCCCTACACAGAATAGACAGGTAGGTTCTTTCATGGCTGTAAGGATAACAAGACGGTAGAATGTTCATTATGCTTACCTATTTCTCCACTTTTATCACTCCCTTTCATCTGGTTTCATTGACACTGTTTTTGTCCTTCTATTTTACAAATAGGCTATAATTATCTATTGGTTTCCTGGAGATGTCACATTTATGTAGAAATGTCTCACTATGGTCTTTGCCATTTTGTGTTCTTCTGGTCAACTAGCTTTCTTTCGCTCCCCCTCAATCAAATGCGCAGTGCCCTCCACTCCTTGCTGGTCTCCACCTGGAAGATTCTCCTTACGTCCCACCTTCACTCTGGGGCTGCTTCTCTTTCATTCACTTATTCACAAGAGAAGAATAGAAATGCAGTCTCATAATCCAGAAAAAAAAAAAAAAAAACAGCTAATATGCCAACCCCAAATCTTAACTGAATTGTCCTTACTAAGCATTAAATTCCTTTTATACAAAACAGAAATGGATATATTATATTTATTTATTGCTCCAAGTGTTGGGTATATAGCAGTGAACAAAACAAAGTCCCTGCTCTCATGGACCTGGCATTCTTGGGGTAGAGTTGGGGACAGGAGAGCAGGTAATTAAATAAGCCTATCACATACCAGGTGCTAGTAGAGTTACAAGACAGAGCAGAGAGGGGTAAGAGGATTTTGACATGTGGGATTAGTTGGGAAGGGCTCTCTGGTAAGGGGCCATTTGAACAGACTCCCGAAGGATATGAAGCAGGAGTCTTGCAAAAAATCTGGAGGAAAATATCCCAGGAAGAAGGAACAGCAAGTGCAAAGGCCCTAATGCAGCAGAGGGCTAAAATATTTCTTCCTGGGAGAACTTTCCCTGAAATTCAAATTTAAATTATGTTCTCTTTTTCTCAGGGCACACTATTCTTTTCCTTCATAGATTTATTTCCATTTATGTTTTATATCTTTAATATTTATAATTTACTTACTTAGTCTCCCCCCTGGATTATAAACTCCCTGAGGGCAAGCATCACATCTGTTGCTGTTTTCTCTCATTTGTATAGTCAGAATTCACCCTCCTGTCTGGTTAAAGTTATTGAATCAGTTGATAAATTTGAAATGGTCATTAATGGCATTGTGTAGTAAATCACTCACCAAGTTTCTTTTGCCTCATGTGAGAATTTTCTTTTAGAAATCAGGACATGGGCATGGGAAGAAATTCCCCTTGAAGAACTGGCTTGCTCCTTTCTTTTAACTAATGAACGCTAATTTAGTAGAATATATCCATTTCTGTTTTGAGTGAAAGGAAAATTCTTTTAAGATTTGAGGTTGGCATATTTACCTGTTTTTTCCTGATGATGAAATTGCATTTCTAGTCTTTTGTTAAGTGGTTTCTCTTTTGTGTAATTTAATTAAATGTCAGAAAGGAGTGATCTTTAGGTAGGTAAGTGGGAAGAAAGAAATAAAGGAAAGAGAGAGGGAGAGAGGAAAGAAAATGTATTCCTCTTCACCGTATCACTTGTCACCCAGAGTGATACTGCTTTGCAAGTTGAAATTGGGATGTAATGATAGCTGCCTCTGACTGGTGCTTAACATGCATTAGGACCGGTGCTAAGTATTTTACATATATGAACTCATTAAGTTCACAGCAGGCTATAGGGTACATACCAATAGTCTTATCTTACAGATAAGAAAATTAAGGCTCAAAGAGGTTAAATAATTTGCCTTGAAACAGAAGAAAGTAGGAATGAGTGCCTTCTAATGGCTTTGGCAGGGCTGTCAGAATTAAATCCAAATCGTTCTGATCCTCCCTCCCCCAAAGCTTCCATCCAGCCTCACCTAAGGACAATGAGCCCCTCCAATAATGATCACTAACTCACCCTGAGGCCTTAAAGTGGCACTTGACAAACATCCATTATCCCCTTACTGCAACAACTCCTAACTAAAGGTGCATCCTATGATCTTTAAATTATTTTTAAAGACATTTTGTTTAAAAATAGCAAAAGAATGCATGACACCGGTTGTAAAATGTCAAGTTGGATGGTGGGAAGCCATTCAGACCTATGTTAAGAAAGGCGATAATGAATTCAGTGTTGGCAATTCTGAGGAAATTATAAGAAAACATCTAGGTATAATTGGTCCCAGAAGTGAAACATCCCTCCTTGCTTTCGCCGTGCGGTCTGGTATTTCTCCATGCTGCTCTCAGCGCAGGGTTCGGGAACCACCGGGATGCAGAACCTAGGAGCAATCCCTGGGACTCCGATTCACGGATTGTGGACCCAGGGGAGAGGGCAAGGCCACGCGCACTCATGCACTCACACACCACACACGGCTGCAAAGCACAGACGGGCACAGGAGCAAATGCGCTCAACACCTACAAAGTATACATACTTCACCCGCCCANTCCCTGGGACTCCGATTCACGGATTGTGGACCCAGGGGAGAGGGCAAGGCCACGCGCACTCATGCACTCACACACCACACACGGCTGCAAAGCACAGACGGGCACAGGAGCAAATGCGCTCAACACCTACAAAGACATACTTCACCCGCCCCCCCACATCACACCACAAACACAGGCTCACACCTCTCCACACACCGGAGCGCACACCACGCACAGGCGCACAAACATGCGAGCTTACACATGTGCGCACACACCCCCTCGCGTGCACCCACACACCCCCTTGCACTGGCACACGCGGCGCACACAGCCTCTTGCGCACACACATACCCTCGTGCGCACACGCTCAGGAGCTGAGCGGCGAGGGGCGGGGCGGGAGTGGCCGCCGGTGCTGGGCCCGGCGTGGCCAGGAGAGGGCGCGGCGCAGGGGACCGCGGGCGTAGCCTTCGTAGTTTCCTGGAGCCGGGACCAGGAGACGCTGGCAGCGAGCCCCACCAGCTCGGGCTGCTCTGGGCTGGGCGGCCCGGAGGGAGCGAGCCCCAGGTCACGCCGGTGCCCGCAAACGGCGCGCGGCGGGGAGCGTGCCATGGACCCCAAGGCTGGCGGCGGCGAGGAGGATGACTGTGTGGACTCGGGCGCCGAAACCGGAGGGTGAGCCGGGCCGGGCGGTGGGTGGGGGCGCGCTCCGAGTTGCGAGGCAGCTCCTCTCGGGCCTGGGACCTTCCTGGACCCCGCGGCGAAGCCAGAACCGCTGTGGCGCCCGCAGGCCGCCCCGCCCCCCCGAAGAAGCCGGAGCGGCCGCGGCGAGCCCTGAAGGCAGGGTCGCGCGGTCCGTGGCTGCCCGCGACCGGACGGGACGGCAGGG